GACAACTATAAAGTAATGATCTGATTGCCTAAAAGATTTGGAAATCAACCTTTCGCTATCGGGAGTTGCAAAAATGCATTCAATGTGGAAATAAGTTATATATCAAGAACATTTGGGAAATTAGAAGATAACGAAAAAAAATGCGATGATCTTATTATGTGTTGCGACCGATTCCTCGTGTGCAACATTCAGGATTTGCCAAATGCGATCGATTAGCATCGACCACATTTGGATAAAGCAACTATCGGAAAGCTCGATGAGCTGAGCAAAGCATGATTCACAGAAGATCAAGCGCTATATAGTATTCGCTACGAAAAACGGCAAAGTTGCGTTATCTACTGTCATCCGACACGCGTCACACAAGTTATATACGCATGCATTACAAATACATGAAGTTACACGAGTAAATCACGATCTATCATTATGTAAATCGCGATGGTTAAGCAGATCCTAAAGATGATTAGTCATATTAGAAATAGTACTTACATACCGACGATTTACATGTCATTAATACATCACTATCTCACTCACGCATGCCACACAACATATTTTTTGTTTACATTTTAATTAGACGTCAAAGTCCAATTGTAAGAACTCTACGCTGTTTCTTATGCAAACTACTAATCTGTGAACTATCATTTTGTAAATGATATTGTAAATGATTTTGTAAATATTATAGATGTAAATATAAAATAAAATATAAGTATAAGTATAAAATAAAAAAATGTTTATAACTTTGAAACGAAGTGTTTTCGAATCCATGTTTATATGACTTTTTTCATCGTTACCATGAGTGGAATATGCTCTTAAAGTTTGGCCAACTATTTCTGAAACACCCTGTACAATATTAAAAACTATTTTATATCCTTGTTTACGTAATGACTTTCCAAGCGAAGCAACTCCCATCCCAGCAAGCAAACACGTCACCTCGATAAACACTACCAATCTTTCAGAAGAATTGTTACATTTCGTTGATACGATACTCGTCAAAATTACTTAGTCAGTGTGATTATAAATAATTATATGTAGCCGTAGTCCAATAAATAAGAACAACAAAGTCATATTCCATATAAAAATGAATTCTCCAATGAATAAAAAATAATAAATTTGCTTGCTTTAGAACTTAATATAATTAATAAAATTTACATTGTTATTAGAACATTAAGAAATTCTTTTCAATCGGTTCTTTTTCAATCTTTTGATCGAGCAATTTCCATTCCTCTGTTCAGCTATCATCCGGTCTTCTGACGTACGTATACATCGAATTCCAATGACTATTAATACTGTTTAATTGATGTAACAACTTTGCGTTTATTATATCTGAAGAGGACCTAATTTAGAGGCCGAAAAATGTTATAATCCATTAGAATATATTAATGTTTAATTTGTAATTTCTTAGTTTTTTAACATAACATTTATATGCTTTAGACTCTTACATGCCTTATATTGTATTTATTATTTATTAGTACATTAATTTAAGTATAATAAGAAATCGAATTACCACACACTATATACAATAATATATTTGTAAGGCATTTTTTATTACGCTAAATTGATTTTTTATTTTGGTACAAATATATGACTACAAACGTACAGACGAAGTGTAAGGGTCATAGCATGAACATTGCCATAGTATCGTAGTGCCTTATGCCATTTTAAAGCCTTGCGTTGCTTCACATATAGTCGTTTCTAAGACATAAGTAGCAACGCACAAAGAAACAGCAACTCTTTACTTTACATTTTGTTCTTTTCTGTGCATTACTTACGTTATGTCTTGGACATCGACTATAAAATGATCCCCGATGATGGCGATGATGGGAGTAGAAAGACGAGTAGAGTGAGAGGCAGATAAATGGATGAACGTTCTTTCTCTATTACTAAAACTTCTGTTTATTAAAGTCTCTGTTTATTAAAGTGGTTTACTGATTGATTGCTGTTGATCCAGCAAACCCAACAATCAGGCTTTAGTCGATGCTTACGGATGACATAAGACGACATAAGACATTACGACAATGTTTATGCGATGGCTCGAACACGGACCATATTGAGTAGCACATGCGCATTACAGTTAACTGAGACTCTATAGCTTTCTCTCTCGCATAGATGTTGGTTTCAGGTTTAGCGTTCAATTCCGCTTTCAGTATGTTTTAAGTCACAATGTGATAACTCTGGAACGCTATATTGGATTATATTAAAAATCTCAATTTCAAAATTTTTTGTCGTTTTCAGCATAGATTCCACTTTTTCCTGATGGACATAAAATTGTCGGCGACATCATCGTGTATCAGTTCTTCCGTATTGATAAGTACTATTTCATCGCATTAATCAAGAAAGCGATTTATTAGCTCGATACCAATATCTTTAGATCGTGTGGAAATCGAACTGCTGAAAATATATAATCACGTATTCGCAATTCTTCAAAGAAATAATGGACAGCGTCAGCTAGCTCCTGTTTTGTCTCTCCACAATAATTGACAATTAGATCCTCCATAATCGCTAATTTTTTATAGGAAATAATCCCGTTTGTAAGTATTTAACGCGATAGCGATTTACAATACGAATTCATAATACAAATAATATAATATAATACGAATAATAGATAACTTTTCGTAAACACAGTTTGTCGCAAACTGTTACTATTCGTAAAGCAGTAGGAATAATGAACTATTATATTTATCTATATTTCTTGGAATTATCATTCTTCAGCAGATAAGAAAGCCACGGTTGCAGAAAACGCTATTAGGATGGATTATAGGAGTTACAATTAGAACATTCAAAAAAGCAAAATATGTGGTATATTGACAGATATTGATTTGAGAAAGCAATTAGAATGATTTTGGAAATCTGAAAAAGCTAGACAGTTAACTAATGAGGAAAAGGAGTGTGAAGAACATTTCTCGAAAACAGTAACGAGAACAGCATTAAGAAGATTTGTGGTAAGTTAATCGAAAAAGTCGGACGTTAATTTAGAATAAGAGGAGCAAGCAAAAGACTACTAGCATTAGAGAGAAGATTCAAGATCAAAGATGCAAAGAAGAATATGTGAAATTCATGGAAGTTTGTGAAAGTAAGAAACATATGTCATTGGTATCAGTACGGACACAGGAACGGAAGAAGTGTGTTGGTTATCTCATCAGCCAGTAATACGGACAGATAAATTGACTACTAAGATCAGGTATTCTTTGACGCTTCTTCATTTAAAACTTCAAATGGCAATTCATCAAATTGATAAACTTAGAGTCGGATCGAACTTATAAAACGAGTTGATATTCTTCTAAAATTTAGAGTACATCAGTTTTTTCTTTAATGCAGATATTGAGGCTGTGTACAGGCAAATTCTTGTAACGGAGGAAGATCGTCATCTTCAAAGAATTTTATAGAAATCAGAACCAACACAGCTTGTTCAAACATATTATCTCAATATGGTGACATATGGAACAGCATCACTTTACCTAGCCATTACAAGGTGTTTACGAGAATTGGTTCAACAAGAGACAATCTTATTCGAAGCAGCAAATATAGTAAGGAGTGACTTCTATATGGATGACCTATTATCAGGAGCATTAAAGGAGAAGAAGAAGCTGTAAAATTACATAAAAAGGTTTCAAAGTTATTAAAGAAAGGTCCATTTCATTTAAGAAAATGGTGAGCAAATAGTAGTAAGATATAAGCGACGTGGAAGAAAATGACAAGCTCTTGAAATTAGACTAAGAGGGAGCTCTGAAGATTTTTGGATTGTTGTGGGAGGTCACAATAGATACGATCCAATATTCTGTCAATATATGTAAGCAAAATGTTATCACTCGAAGAAGCATAATATCTCAAGTAACACAGATCTTTGACCCATTGGGTCTTCTAGGGGCAATCTTAATTAAAGGCAGGTGTATTATGCAGCAAACATGACAAATGCTCGAGTCGAATGATCAGTCTTGACTCAAGAAATTACAGGAATCGTGGCACAATTTTTACAGCTCATTGCGAAAAATTAACGAATTTAAAATTCAGAGAAATATTAATCCAGGAAACCTGGCTCAAAAATTTGATCCTGCTGGCTTTGACGATGCTTCGAAAGAGCATGTTTATACACTATTTCAAGGAATGCAGAAGACAATCAACAATCATATTTAATTTGCTCAAAAAGTAAGGTAGCCCCTTTAAAAACAATATCATTGCCACATTAGAGTGAAATGCGGCGCTCATGTTGTCAACGTTGACTGCAACAATCGTATAAACATTCGGGAATCAGAATTCAGCAAATTAACTTGTAGAGTGACTCCAGTATTGTGTTCCATTAAATCAGAACCAGTCCTAATCTGTTTAGAACCTACGCAGCAAATCGCGTAACGAAGATTCAAGATCTATCGAGAGAAGCAACTTAGCACGTGTCATCGTCAGACAACCCAGCAGATGTCTTATCAAGAGGTTTAACAGTTTCAGAGTAGAAGCACAGTATCTTTTGGTGGCATTGTGGATTATCCTGGATGGATCATCGACTCAAAAATACGGCCGAAATACGGATACAGTTAGAGCCTGAAGCGGAGATCAAGAGGATCATAGCAGTTGTGCATCAACTGATGGGAGACTACTAAAGAAATATTTAATTTATAACAAATTATTAAGAATTAGCGTATATTGTTTGCGTTTTAAAAAAAACTGCAGATGACCGGAAACGAAGGTAACGAAACTTTTGACCGTAAGCGGATTGAATCAAGCCGAAATCGCTATTATTAAATTGATGCAAGCAGAATCATGCAATGGAAATAATAGCAATTGCAAATAAGTACTCAATTCATAAAAACAGCAAATTAACGGCATTCAATCCTTTCTTAGATCCACATGGGATCAAGCAAATTAATGCATTCAATCCTTTCTTAGATCCACATGGGATTCTCCAAGTCGGCGGCAAATCATCTATTGGAAGATCAGAAGCGATAATTTAATAATTTATAATATTTAATAATTTTGCCTTCTAAAAATCCCTATTATACTTTAATCACAAGACGAGCGAACGAGTGACATCTTCATTGTGGATAGAATCAATTATTATAAATACATTATTCGGCAACGATAATGCAAGGGCGACGAGAAGTCGCCCTAAAAAAAGTGAGTTGCTTGAAGTGTTTCCATATGAAATCAGAAAGCAGATATTAACACGAGACGGAACTGATTTTAATATATTTTCGATCGGTGGAGGCTCTCCAACGGATGTTTGACTATACAAAGTACAAACAAAAGATAATGCGTTAAACGCGATAGAAATTCTGTTTCACTTTTTTTGCAGACTATCGAGAGGAAATATAAGCAGATGGGAGATAAATAGATGATGGCTAAAAGACGATCAGTTTAGGTAGAGGATATAGTTTAGAGAGTTCTGTTTAGAATGTTTCAATAAAATGCACTAAGAAAGTGTAAGTGTATTTTTTATGTTATATATAAATTAAGTTTTCTATTTTTTAAATTTGATACAATCGATTCACAGGGTCCGACATCGGCTAAACGGAAAATTCAGTGTCGATTTTTAGGGACCGACGCCGGCCGAACAGAAAGTTCAATGTCGGTTCCTTTATCCGATGTCTGGAGACCTACAAGAATTAACAGTTCTAACACCGACATATTTTTTGATCAGCGACTCTGATTCTATCTGTTAATACCGACATCCTAAACACACCAGAGAACTGTCCAAGACCTTATCCAGATGGTAACTGTTGCAGAAGATGCAGCAAAGAATATGGGCCTGATGGCATTTTGTTCGGAATATTTATAAGAATTATAATGACGTCATAAGTTTCTTTCTATCAGAAAACCTGAAGCTATGCTTATACTACTAAAGGACAAAAATTTACCTCCACTTCAATGGGAAACAGCCCGTATCACCAAAATTCATTGCGGAAACGACAACATCCAGGGTAGTCACTATTAAAACTTCTAAGGGATTGAAAAAATCCACTAGGGAGTTTGCCCATTTTCTATTTACGATAAAATAGAATCATAATTAAAGAGCGCCACCGATCGAATTAGAACGAATCGACACCAAGTAATCACACCACGACGTGCCGCGACTGCCGCATATGAATTGTGCGCAGTTTAGCTGCGCAGTGTAATATTCGCGAGTCATTTTATTTTTGACAACTGACGCACTTAATAGAATTTGGTTTGGATGGAGATCAAGAAGAAAAAGAAGAAGGATTTGGTAATATGTGATTATCGTGAGTATTATGTATTTATCATTTGATATAATATAAGTATGTGAGTACGCAAACTAATGTTAAAAGAAAGTTTTTAAGATATCTCGGCATGTCTTTTTATTGGCATGTGAAAAAATGTTTTTATGTTTAGGCGGCCGTGATTCTTTATTATTATCAGACTATTAAAATTGACAAAGAAAATGTCGAAAACGTTTTTTTATCAAACTGATTTTGTTTTATTTAAATGAGTTCAATAATTTAGGTAAAAACAAGGAATTTAATTTACAATCTGATGAATTGAATCAAAATAGATTCAAAATGTCTGAATTAGACGTATCTACGTGATGGCATAGCTTATGCTGGAGAGTATAAACTACAACAGAAATGCAATTAATACTTTATTGGGAAAAGAAGTTCTAAAATTGTCAATCAATGTTGGAATGGCAAATAATTGGTAGGCAACTAATTCGTTTCCTTGAAAGAATTAAAAAGATAGTCGAAATCTTATCTAGTGAAAAAACATTGTACTCTAATACTTTTACTTAGAAGTGAATTAAAAATGCATTTGTAATGAAAATGACTCATTAGTAATAAGATTAATGAAAAGTACAATACTTGACAATTTTGATCACAGATTTCCCATTACAGACTTAATGTAGGAAATTTACTTGTTTTAATTTTCTTATTAGATTCAGATTTCAAAACTTAAATAATGTAAATAAATATTTAGATTCACGAGAATAGTTAAATTCACCAATCCTTATGAATTTTCATCATCTGTCCCCTTTAATATTCTACAATTTTTGTCCGAAACGTTTTTCCATATTTAAAGCTGTTCCTGAGATCCAAGGATAGTTAAACTTTAAAGACATCCTGTAACATGCGCTGATCAATGCCACTGCCGCCGTGATAAAAACCGACTAGCGCCCGCCGCTGATATATGCATCGGCGCATAGCTCTCTAATCATAATTAAGAAAAAAGTATAATTAATACGTTTCGTTATTCATTTGTTTAATTAGAATTTGTTTGATTATATGTACATTGAAAGGCCCTTATTTGTTGTTATCGTATCAAACATTTTATTAATTGAAAGTCTAGTCTTTCAAAACCAGAATTACATTCGTGCAAAAATAGGTTGGATTGGCATCAGTTTTGTGTTTTTTTTAATTGTAAGTAATTGGCAGAACTGATATAAGACAGACATGGATAAAGTTTTATGAAAAAGCAATTAAGCATATAAGTGGTATACATATATTCTCATTCGAATCATTTATACGAAAGATTTGTTCATTAACACAAATTAAGAAATTAACACGATCAATTTCTTAACAATTATATAAATTTTTATTTAAAAAAAATCATTTGGTTGAACACTTTTGGCTAAAAGTTATTTTTAACAAAAGATATCGAATTCTGTCCCATTGTGTGACGATACTATAAGTTTCAAGCCTTATAATTTGTAAAGTACTTAATAAAAAAATATTTTATTATAGCGTTTTGAAAAACACTACAAGAACATGTAATGAAAAATGGGAGATTCTACTTAAAAAATTAAAATTAATCTTGCCCTGATCTTGACAACGCCAAACCAATGACACCATCTTATGTCCCCCTCGAAGTAAAAAAAAATTTTTGTTTGAAACATTTTTGAAACATTTCATCCATACACTTTACAACGCAAAGCGAGAGCCACCCCCAAATCGAAAATGACTTCGGTTAGATTAGTTTCTCGGTAGCGGAGTCCTCCCCCTCCCCTAAGGGCTATTTCTTCCCCACTCAACTATTTGGAACAGAACGATTGTGTTTCATCCCAAAGGAGGAGGAGAAGCGCCCCTCTTCCGCGTATATATGTTTTCCTGCTTCTTTTCTTTACTTTTAAAAATAAAACAAAATCTACAATTCTGTTCTATATAGTTTTGTGTAGAAAGAACACACATGGGCGGGCTTTGCCTCTCCCCCTGTATGCCCACCTTGATTTAATTCTAATCTAACCCAACTCTTATCTCATTTCCCTTGGCAGAGATAAGGTGAACCTTGCTTTGCGTGGAAAGTCGTATTCCCTTAATCGATTCATGTCACACTTCTCTCCCTGTCCAGAGTTATCCAACTTTTCATGTAAAGCAGGCATCCAGATAGACAAATGCAGCGAATTTGCTAATATGTTTCCGGAAATTGTTGCAACAACTAATTTGGATAAACTCGGGACAAGAGATAGCATTATATCTATCATATTGAACTCAATAGAATTCTAATTCTAAAGACAATAATTTGAAGGCAACTTATTATCCGCATGCTATCCGTAGCTAACAGCATGTTTATAACATCTGTCAAATAATGATCGATATGCTATATGTATAATAAAGTGATTCCATCAAGATACTATCAATTTTGCCATTATCAAATTTAGAATTCACATGAGAACAATATTTCACATATAATGAGGAAGCACCTTGTCCCTAGTTTGTCGACATTTGTTATTGCAATGGTTGACAGCAATATATTGGTATTTTGAATTCATTTGCCATAAATTCAAGATGATCACGTTGCTGTCATGATGGAATTGGAATTCCATCATAGTGTAGATACTTTCATATTAAAGCCCAGCTTTGAGGGCTCACTTCACATGAGAAATGCTGCGCTCCTTGTATTCTTTCACAGGTGATTCTTATTTACGAGTTAAAGCATCTCCACCGTGGCCCTCTGTTGGCGGAAACGCATAATGCTTACGGATGATTTTCATGATAATATTTTGTTGGCAATGAATTATGATGGCATCGATTAAAAAATTTCATAGCTTGAAGACATATACGCAACAACGGATGTTACATGTTTTGTTGCCATCATATTTTCAAGATAGAATGATTAATCATTCCTTGCTGTTTTATGTTCCTTCATCTTACTAACAGCATAACATACCTATTGCTAACCGTTTGTTTTTGAAATTTCATTAACTGATTGCACACATAAGCAATCATATTGATGCAATGTATACTATTTTTATTCAGCAAATGTATGCCAAAGACAATTCATACAATGCATCAATTTGTTCAATATGCTAAATCGCTTGGTTATCTGGGAAAATAATTACTAACTGTGATTGGTTAATAACTTTATAGTGAACAACGAGCGACGGTTAAAACCTGTTGGAGGTCACTCAGAATTATGACCTTAACAACCTATGTCAAGGTTATCAGAGTTGCCCTAAAATGAATAATTACCTGAATTTTCAACACAATGGATCTTAGTTTTGATTAAATTACTAATAAATGAAAATGTAATGAAAATTCTATATTTCATCCCAAAGATTTTAAGTGTGAACTACAACCATAATTAAAAAATTGATATGCTTATGTTTTTATAAATTCTATTCTTATATTGACGGTTCAATTTCCGATATGTATTTTAAACGATATAATATATTTCTTTCCTTGCGAATTATTTGTTGCTTAGACCGTTTTAAGGTTTTAATTGTACCATTTAGATTTCAATTTTGTTAAATATGATACAGAAGATTAAGATCGAAAAGTCAAAACGCTATGTATCATGATATTTAAGTATATTAGATTTCACATATTATTTTGTTTAAGCAAATGACATTTTTGCGAGGCTTATTTGCTCTTTTGTATTAATTTAAATTTTTGTTCCGTTGAGCTTAAAAGATTTTGATATTGTATTTTAAAATTTAATATGTAAAATATTTGTACACATATATGGATATATTATTTAAGATCATAATCTTAATAATATATATGTCAAAATAAAAAAGTAATATTTCAATATATATAATTCCTTGTGTAATATTTATCAACTGTACGGCAGAAAATATTAATTAGATTTCTAAGAAGTAAAGATCATCAAGGTCAACAGAAAGTTTATTGAGCATGATTAACAAAGAGAACATTAGATACAGATTTTGTTGAATTTGATGTATATAATAGTTCAGTTCTTTCACTAATTCATATACTAAAATTATAGAACCCACTTTTAATGTACTCGTAAAAATTCGAAAAAAATACATTTAAAAATTTACTGTATTAGTGATGTGAAATATTTAAACGCGTTTTTCTACTTACAAAATTCATATAAATCGAAATGCGTGGAGGCAGTACGCCCCTGCTAGAGGTGGCATAAATTGCCCTGTATACACTTTATAACACGGAACAAGGATTATCATTTATTCTTATCTTAATAAGACTTAAAAATTCGTATAATCGCATATTGAAAGCTGTTAACAAACTGCGAGAACTATATCGATTGTTCATAAAATACCTGCGACTTTCCATGATTTTCTAACTTTGTTTACATTCTTTAAGAAATTAGTATAGCATATATTCATTATTTGTAATATACCTCTTACCAGCTTGATCAAAAAGTTTCCGGAATTTTTTTGGCTAGGTTGCCACATCTATCATTGACATTTCCATCAAATTTTATCGCCATAGCTTGACATTTGTAAAAATTACGCCGTCTTGAGTACATCTACCTCTGCGCGTGTTTTCGATTTTTTACAGTTTTAAAAATGGAGTTGAATTTGCAACAACGAGTTTGTATTAAATTTTGCGTTAAAAATGGATTCAATGGTGCGAAAACCTTGGAAATGTTGGGAAACTGTTTCGGCAGTGATGTTCTAAAGAAAACAACCGTTTACGAGTGGCATGAACGCTTCAGAAGTGGTCGTGAATCCGTCGAGGATAACGAACGCAGTAGCAGGCTGTCGACATCGAAAACCGACGAAAACATCAATAAAGTGAGAGAAATGTTGGCCAATAACCGCAAATTAACTATCAGAGAGCTGGCAGAGGACTTAAACATTGCTTATGGATCCGTTCAGGACATTGTAGTTAATGATTTGGGTTTGCGCCGTGTTGCTGCAAAGTTGGTCTCGAAGGAACTGAATTTCATGCAAAAAAGGGACCGCGTTGACATCGCCAAAGACATGATTTCCAAGACTGAATCCGACCCAACATTCATCAAACGCATCATTACTGGAGACGAGACGTGGGTTTATGAGTACGACACGCAATCCAGACATCAGGCGAGTGAATGGAGAGCTCCAAATGAGCCAAGACCAAAAAAACCACGTCGTTTTCAGTCGAAAAAGAAAGCGATGCTCACGGTTTTCATGGATTACAACGGTATTGTACATCACGAATTTTTGTCAGAAGGTCAGACAGTTAATAAGGAGTATTATTTGGGCGTTATGAGACGTTTGCGTGAAGCAATTCGCCAAAAAAGAAAGGATTTGTGGGTAAACAACTCGTGGATTTTGCACCATGATAACGCACCGTCGCACAGTGCCATCATTATCCGTGAATTTTTGGTCAAGAACAAAACGAATACCATCCAACAGCCATCGAATTCACCCGATATGGCTCCCTGCGATTTTTTTCTGTTCGATCGAGTCAAAAAATCACTGCGGGGAACGCATTTTAATAGCCGAAAGGAGGTAATGGAAAAATCGAAGACGACTCTGATGGCTATACCAATAATAGA